AGAGTGGATTCTCGCGGCATCGTACGATGTTTCACCAACAAGAACCACCTCCCCGCCTGAAAGTGACTGTTTACACCGCTCGAAGGATAGCCCATTGGAAAGGAAGTTACTTGAAGCGATCGCTATCAAGCGGTTATCCCCCGAAATAAACAACAGGGATGAGCTGATGGAGGCAATGAGGCTGATTGCATAGCGGTCGTGATAAGGATGTCCTCGCAATTGTCAGCGCGTCGCATTCCTAGTCACTTTTAGTTGCATTGGCGGTGTCACTGGGGTAGGTCGTTAGTATTTGGTGTAGTGGTCATCAGTTGTAGGCATTGAGTGTAGTGTATTACAGACCTTAGCAACTTTATTGTTAAGAAGGACTCCAGTCTGGTTAGTACTTCGACCAACTCTATTGTTGTAAAGATTTGTAGTGCTATGTATGCTTTATATATTTGAGGTCTGACGAAGCTGTTACCACAGCGAAAGCTTACCAATGAAAATTGTGTTTCGAGTACTCATTGAATTTTGTTGAAGAAGACAATTATTCTTATGATTGAAGTTCGAAGACAGGAAAGAGAAAAAAGGGTGCCACTTACCTACCGGATATTCTAGACCATGTACGGTAACAAGCATTTACTATGCACGCTCTGCAAAATCTTTGCCACGCTGCTGTGCATCACATCACGTGATTTGTGCTTCGGCTTTGAATAAGCTCTTTCTGAATCACATCGGATCGTTTTGAAATCAAATTGGACACTTTTCGAAGCATATAGATGATTCCCACACCGCGCACTCGTCAATCGAGGGGGTGGGAGTGCTTTTTCATAATGGTCCAGGACAGCTGCGTCATATTAGCAGTATAGAAATGAGGCGAAACGGCGTGATTGATTGTTGACTTCCTGTTGTGCCAAAGTAATCAGCAATAAAGGTATTTGTCCTGCATCGATACCATTCTTGCACAAGTGCTCGATACGGAGCAGTATGTTTCACATGAAGTGCTGAAAATCAACAAAATAGCTGGGGTGCGACGGTGGAAAAAGAGGAATACAGATCCGCAAGTGTGGACTACGATGCAAAGAATAATTCTCAGTCAGTTGGACAGGCTCTCTCAGATTAAGAAAGCCACCTCACCTGAAAACTGCTCAGGTGAACCAGACCTTTTCACAAAAACCATTTCTGCACAATGGATTCGACCGGCCACCCTGGGGTTACTTGACTGCAAGGGTATGCAAAGAACCTCATCTCCTTGGCTCACAAGCGTTTCCTAGCAACGTTCCACTTGCAAACAACCACACCGTCTGATGTCGTTCAACAAAACGAAACTGATATCATTCACAGTATTTTGCAGAAATGATATTTCGATTCGAAAAGCGTCCTATTTGAACAGCAAATAGTTTATGTAGACTCGGATCGCCCGCGAAACATGGTCACACTGGCATGCCCACCGAACTCTGTAATCTTCTCAGATTATAGGAAGCTCTCTATGTATTGTGGCACTCTGGTCTATATGGCGCCGGAGATAATATTAAGACGCCTGTACGATGTCGAGGTAAAACAATCTCCATTCATGTTCCTTAGGATCTGAATACCTTTAATCAATTCTTAGG